CTTCCTCATGGACGGTATGGTGGACAGCTCCAAGATTCCAGGCTTCGAGTGGCTCAGTAATGGCCCCAAGATGAAGCCGGAGCAGCTCGTGTACGTCGGTCTGCGCGACGTCGACTCGTTCGAACGTCGCGTCATCCATGAGAAGGGAATTAAGGCGTTCTCTATGCAAGAAGTGGACCGCTACGGTATTGGCAAGACGATGGAGATGGCGCTGGACCATCTTTGTGGCAAGAAGCAGCGGCCTTTGCACATGAGCTACGATATCGACGCAGTGGACCCACTGGTGGCTCCCTCGACAGGCACACGTGTACGTGGTGGCCTTACGTGGCGTGAGGCTCATTACGTCGCTGAAGCTGTGGCGGAAACCAACTTGATGGTGGGTCTGGACATGGTCGAAGTGAACCCGACGCTGGCACCTGGCGATGGAGCTCAGATTACGGTCGACATGGCGCTCATGCTCATCTCGTCGGCGCTCGGAAACCGCATCTTGTAAGACAATTCTCAGTTTACATGGGTTCGTAGGTAAATTTCACACCTCGTTTAGCAATAACGAACCCAGACACGACCACAATATCATGAGCAAATTGCGTTCTACACTACCGCTTGCCTTTCTTCTTGGAGCCGAGCGCTATCCGTTAATGTCAAACACATTACACCGTTCACGCTTAATTAGTCGTAGCTAGCAATTAATCGTAGATTTGCACTTAATTGATATCACAAATTCGAGATATTTGACAGATATGATCAAATCTATATAAAAAGACCGGTTTTGAGTCAGTGAACGGCAGTTCACAGGTCCCCTCTTTGCTCAAAAGAGAGCGAAGTGACCTAATTAAGGTAGAATGTAAACGGAGTATATTTATAGATAGATAAAGCTTGGGTTTAATACAAACTTTTAGTCACCTATATGTCGTCAACCCTTGGTTCTTTGTACCGAAGTATGACGTGTCACACTTCATGTAACCAGGGTACATTTAGGGCGACGTACCCCGTTACATCCTCCCCCACTTAGGTTCGGTTTACCGACCAATCAGAATGAAGAGGTGTTCGTCACAAACCTTCATTCTCAAAGTCGAAAACCATCGACTTGGCCGCGGGAGCGTGGCGGAGGCTCACTTCACCGTTAGAGCCTCGAGCAGCAGTTTGTGCGCTCTTCTTCTAGGTCTCCACTTCGTTCGTTTACCATGCCTCGTGGCACTGCAAAGAGCGGTGCGAAGACACGCTCCAAGGCTGCTGCCGGGAAGGCGCAAGCCAAGAGCATTAAACCTCACGGCAAAGGCTCAGCACTTAAGAAGGCTACTCAGGTGGCCTCCGAGGCGATCGGCTCATCGGGCGACAAGGTTGTGGGCAAGCGAACCAGCAAGCGCCGCAGTCCGTCGCCCTTGGCCTCTCCAGACAATCGTCCGAACCTCGGTTCGTAGAACGTGAGCTCGACTCTGGCAGTGAGGACGGAGCCGAGTCCGAGAGCACGCACGATGCTCCTGCGGGCTCTG